CTAATACTAAGTAGGCTTTATATCCCTGATGAAAAATGTGAGGCATTCCAAAATAAGTTATTTCCCAATTGTTAAAAAGTCAGGTAGTTTGATGATATATTTGGAGATGTAATGTGTGAAATGCGCTATTTAATAGAAGATAGGATCTTTTCTATGTAGAAATTGCATATGAATATCCGTTTCATATAACCGTTGTCCAATTACATATTTAGTATTGTTTCATTAGAATGCTAGATATATGACCATTTCTATGTTAATATGAGCGCAGCTTACATGGTAGTTATTTTTTTGATTACTGATTGATTACTGAATGTCATTGTCAGGTAGCGTTCAGGAGTATGAAAATACCACTACATTATTACATGGCTTATTAGGTGATTAACTCGAGTACGTAAATGCTAGACAGTGACCAAGCAGAAATTTTCTGTGTGGTCCGAACTCAAGAAAAAAAAAAAGAGAGAAAAAAAAAAAGAAAAAGAAAAAATATATACCTACTTTTCCAAAAGTTGAATTCAGTACTTGATATCTTGGTTTTTTGTCATGGCAAGCTATTGGGAGGTAACTGTGCCAGGACCAATACAGTTGCAAAAGTAACTGTGTATTAAGAATATAAGAATAAATTTTCGGGAACTGTTTTAAGTCATATTCCCTTTAAGACAAATGAAATGTGGTAATTTATTTAAAAAAAGAAAATTAAATTTTCAACATTATTTTTTCTTGGAGATTATCAGTATATAGCACATATAATATATGCTATATATAAATAAGTGACACGTGTTTATTGCTTCATTTTCTTAGAACTTTACTGTGTGTTGAAACTGTTTCCCTATCCAAAACATAATGCTGCTGATATTTGTGGGAGTTTGGTTATCCTTTCAGGATTGTCTCAGTCAATGAATCCCATTTCTTTTATACTAGAAACTGTTCCCATCAATCTAAACATTCACAGTTGAATTCTATCTGTCACAGTGAGTGTTATAATTAAAAGCGCTACATTCTTAGCCAAAATACACATTCAACTGTACCTAAGTATAGAAGTCCATATTTTAGTAATATTGTGGGTTTTGCAAAAAAATGCAAATTACTATTAGGAAATTTTAAATTAAGCTTTCTATTTCAAATTCTAAAATCGTAAGTCACTGAGATAGTTTTAATTCTCTGTACCATTGCTCTAAAAAATAAATGCCCTGGAAGCAGTGATATTTTTCTCAAAGGTGTTTAAACACATCAAAAATGAACCTCAAGACAATTACATCCCAGGGATACCCCAGTACACCACACATGCTAATAGTGTGATTGACTGAGAAAATCAAAATATTTCTTTTAATACATTACCTTAACCTGGCAATAGGTGTAAATTGCTGTGTCATTTAAACTAATCTATATTTATGTATACATTGTAGGTTCACGTGGTACCTAAAGTTGCTTATTTGTGTTTCAGAGAGACATACTACGCTGGCAATAATTAGCTGGACACATCATGACTTAAAACAATACATGCTTATACAAAGTCTGTGTGCCTCTGGAAACAAAAACATTTAATAGTTGATTGTTGTTACTGTAGATATGAATAGATCAAGACCCAGGTTGTGTTTTACCAAATTACAAGGATTTGCTAAGTACAGAGGGTTGCAAAACAGCGCAAGATTGCGTATCAGAGCTCGATATGTACATACTGTAGGATACCTACTCAGTAGAAGTTTCCTAAACCTTAAGTGTCTACAGCCATAAAATAAATCCTCAGGGGAACTTCAAATAAATATTTTTTCAAATATTTTTTCTCGTCCCCAGTTGTACAAACAAATAAGCTGAGAGGGAGAGATTAATATATGCTGGAAAAGCGCTCCCTTATTTTTAGTGTGTTCAGAGCCCAGTATAGATCAGGAGGTGCTGCTTTTTTCCCCATGGAGGTTCTGCAGTATTGTTGTCTGATGGATCAATCAGTTTCCTAAAACAGCTTCATTTTGTGATGGCTGGGCTCCTTTACCCCATGCAGTCAACAGAGGATAGCACTCCTGGGGCTTTGTACTTACACTTTGGAGTCTTTATTCCTGTTTATTTACAGTGCTGTAGCTTTAATAAAACTGCATGATTCCTGCTTCACTTTTCCTTTCTCGCTAAATAAAAACAATTGATATTTATATATAGGTGCATGGTGACTGGGAAAAGTGCAGAGAACTTCATAAGGAAATTTTGCTTGTTACATCTTGTAAACTACATTATATACAGTGTAATGCTAGGGATGACATTAATGTGTTCTTTAAAAAGCTGCTCTCAGGCCAGTGCACATGCATTTTCCATAACGTATATGTGCTCATGTGTGATATTTAGACTGCTCCATAGCTGCAAATATGTCTGGAAAAATGGCTTTGATTAATTGACTTCCCTCCTCTTCTTCTTTCCTCTCTTCAGATGCAAAGGCTCCATTCATTATCAGGGAAGATCAGAGGAGGAGGGGAGCAGAGTACCTGGGGCACATGCTGTTAGAGTTACAATTTTCCAAATGCCATAAGTAAACAGTAGGGAATGGGAAATATCCAGGAAGGGAGAGGACCTCTGTGTTTGAAAGTCCTCCTCCCTTCCAAATATTTGGCCTGATTTTATCTTTAGCTGTGCAAATCTGCATCTCTCCATTGTATATACATGTAATACTTGTTACATCTTCGACTCTGTCTGCCATTTTCATGTGTCACATTTTCAGCTGTGCAGGTATGAGGGACCCTGAGCACTGATGCACTGACTGAGGGCTATTCTGTCCAGTGTTCCTTGTCCATTTGTTCCTTTTTCTCAGGAAATTCCCGCCAATGATATATACATATATGATACTGAAGCCAGAACTCATACTTCGTCAACTGACAGTTTCCTTTACTTCTGTTTGTATTTATGCTTACATGAATGGTTCCCTCCTTTTGATGCCTCTGTGCTGATAAGAGTTTATTTCTGCTAAATTTCATGTACGTTCACGATATTTGTGCTGTGCATAATTTATCCATAAAATCAGAATTTTGCACAAGGAGAATATTGCTAGTCAAAACCCAAAAGTTTGGCCCCGTCTTTATTCATCATATTTTGCTTCTTCAGTTTAACATTATTACTGGTTAATAGGTGCACCTGAAAATCAAGCCGTATTGTAGTATCTGGTGCGTTATGTTAAATGAATCTTTTCTAGGACAGCGAGTCTCTTTTTTTTTTTCCTAATGAAAAAGAATACCTCATCTTTTCCAATTTTCCTATCAAACACATCCACATCATCTCAAGACACTGCCACATCCAGCTGCATCTATACTCAACTTCCAATTATATGAAATTACACAACCTACTCTCAGGTCCTTTAGGTTCTCTTTTGCTGTGTGAGGCACACGCATAGTGCATTTCCTGTGAAGTGCATGATTACAAACTATTCAGTACAAGCCTGTTTTAAGTAAACAGTAAATTAAATATTGTCAGTGCTTGTTCAGACATGCTCTTTCAAAGGAAAAAGAACTTCTAGGTTTGGGTTCATAAAACTCCAGATTTAAGAAAGGGCCAGACATAAACTAGGCATTCTTTTTCCTTTTCTACTTCTTTTGGCTGACCCAGTTGTTCAACAGCTGGTACAAAACAATATATTCAGATGCCTGAACAAGGAAAATTGGGCTAGACAAAATGCTGAAGGTAGCAAAATTCCTGTTTATTGCTCTTTATGTGAATGGAGAATTCTCAGAAACATTCTGTCACTAACTGTCAGGTACACTGCTGCCTGAAAGACTGTTAAGAATCTGTCTGAGCAACATGCCTCTTTCAACCATGACAAATACAGTAAAAAACCATCATTTTATTACAGTTCTGGCAATTTTATTTTCTGCTACGCCAATCAGTCTGACTACAGGAGTTAGGAAAGAAAGGAAATGGTTGCTTCTCTAAGAAATGAGGGCTTTTGAGTATTTTGTGGTGTCTGCTAGTTCAGTATTAGCATTGTCACTAGAATTTGGAGAAGTATAAATAAATTTTATAAAAACCAGAAGCTGCAAATGTGCACTTGCAAAGTCTCCTTTCATCTGTGCCAGTTAACTCATTCCCAAGAGAAGGCAAAACTCTTTTCTTCCAGGGGGTCAAATATTGTTTTCATTCATTCCATAGACATTTCAAAGAGAACAAGAGTTGCATGTGTGTGTTCAGGGCTGCACATGATTTATGATTAAATACAGCAAGTACCCCTTTCTTTATTGTATTTTGTTTCTCTTTCTTACACACAAGTATGAGTGAGAAGCTCTGGCGAATAATTCACAAATTTATCCAAGTTATCAGTGGTGTATAAAATGGCACAACGTATAGTAGGTCTTATTTCCAGTTTCTATTACTAGATTTCAATGCCATTTGTAAAAATAAAAAATAAATTGAAAAAAAGAAAGAAAATGTTTTAATGACTGTTAAAGCACAGATCCTTTGTGATCTGACAAAAATATTAGTGAAAAAAAGGATGAAAAATACTTGCTTTTCAAATTAAGAATGCAAAGATCTAAAGAAGTTCTTTGAAAATGGATATGAGAGTTAGCTCAGAAACACAATATTAATAGATTTGTATGAGTGCACATAAGGCGAATATATTCAATGCTGTAATATTTTTATGGTTTCATAAATAGTGCTATCACCAACATTTCAAAGAAATCTGAAAAAACAGAGCTCGTATGTGGTGGCATAAATTTAGTGTATTTTATAGAACACTGTTACTCCGGATATAGCCTACGGGTTGTGACTTTTCATAAAACCTAATGAATTTCTAGATTTGTCAGCTGTTTCAACACAGATGCACTTTGCTGATCTAATGGAAACATTTTGAGCCCAGATCCAAAATATCAATAGCTTTTAGTATCACAAATTAGTTTGGCTATTGGGTAATTGGGGATGTGGTTCTTGATAAAAAGCAGCAAGTAATTTGTACGTGTGTTTTATGATAACTGCCTCTCCAACGTCTGATACTGAGGTTTTTTCTCTTTTTTTTTTCCTTTTTTTTTTTTCAGAGTTTTAAGTTGAATGTAGATAGCCACTGTGCTTTAAAAGAAGCAGTGGTAGAAGAAGGACGTCAACTTCTTGAGCTTATTGTATCTCACAAATCAGGTAAATCCTTCTGAAATATTGCAAGTCTTTATGTCTCCAGACTATTAAAGAATGAAGAAGCATTGCTGTAAATTACTGCATATATTCACTTCCTTATGTATTATTAATATTTACATTATCAGATTGACCTTCAAGATTTATAAATGTTTCATATACTGCATACAATGCAGTGATACTTATAAAATGAAATACTGCCTGCAAATAGTCTGTTCATTTTATTTTGGTCTTGCTTCTCAGCTGAGTTTCAATTGAAATCACATCACTGAAAACTTCACACTGACACATTCTTTGATGTAGGTGCTATGGAAATAACATTAAGATAATGAATTAGGATTTCGAATATATATGTATTTTTACATACATGGGTAATTGCATTGGTAAAGCTTTATTTTGCCACTTAAACTAATTCTTACATCAATTCTAATATATTTATGAGGACTAGATTAAAATTAAAAATACCTTTTTCCTTTGGTTAGGCTTGCCTTTTTCTGCAGCGGCCTTAAAACAAGAAGAGAGGGAGAGATTTCCCTTTCTCTATCCCCACCATCTCCTATATTTTTAGATGTTTGTGTGACTTCTATGATAATAGTGTTTTAATCAGTGTATACTGCTGCAGAATGCCGTCCTAATTTTGGCTTATTTAGCGTGCTTTTCATTCAGGTTGAAGGTATCCTTTGATCTACTATTTTCCGATCATGTTATACATTGTGCCTCTATTGTTTCACAGCATCAGACAGATCTGTGTAATGTGAAAGCTATAGGAAATTAGTGACCGTGTATGGTTCTAAAAAGGTATAGAAGCCATAGCAGAGAAGGGTAATGCATGTCGTCATATACTTAGAAAATTGTAGTGTGTGAACTACAGAAAATATTTACAGGAGTTGGAGGCAAGAAAAATGTATTTGGAAGATTATGACATGTTTTGAGATGAAGACTAGCTATTAGAGGGTGAGATTACCATAGCATTCCCTACTGCACAGAAATCACAGTTTATGTGTGATTTTCCTTTTCTTGAAATTCTCAGCTGAAACATAATCAAAATATAACATGATGACTAAAAGAAATGTTTTGACCTTATAGCATTATTTTGCAGTATGAACAATAATAGTGCTTGGATTTATTGCTGAGAAAATACATTAAAATTCTTGTTGCATTTATTCTTTTAATGCTAATTCTTTGAATAAAGAATAATATTTAAAGATGCAATTGAGTTTACAGCTTTTACTTTTTCCCCTTCATTTTGGAGAAGGACTGAAGGACATGCTGCAGATGATTGCAAGTCAATGGAAGGAACTACAGAGGCAAATCAAACGGCAACACAGCTGGATTCTTAGGGCTCTGGATATCATCAAAGCAGAGATACTGGCTACTGATGTGTCTGCAGAGAATGAGGAAGGGACTGGGAGCCCTAAGGTAAGTGGCTTGAAGTTTGCCTTATTTCCTCTTATTTCTGTCTTCTTTTGAACTAAGCACCACTGAAGTTTTCTTTACACCCTAAGGCTTTTCATTTCTACTGGGTAAACTTTTTTTTTTTATAAACAAAATGAAATGCCTTACTCTGAAACAATAAAAAAAATCTTAGTACTTTTAAGTTTTCCAGGAAGGCCTGTCTCATTGTGTGTAGAGGGGCATGAGGGGGAACATAAAACATTTAGTAAACAAAACATAAAGCATCTTTAACATGAATAATCAGAATGGTTTTAAATTGTTTTGTTGCAACTATAAATCACTATAATCAGTGCAATCACTCAGCTCTGACATCCATTAGCCGCTTGGTTACAGCAAATTAACAAAGAAGAGAGAAAGTGATTCATTATCTCATTCCTGTTAATGACTATCAGATGCATTGCTTAATTAGGGGATGGCCATTGTAGTGGGAAGAAGGTCATATGCCTTTTCACAAATCTTTTTCCTCTGAGTTTAAGTTCTCTATAATAGTGCATGTGCTGAATACGAGTACTTTTAAGAATAAGGTATGGTATCTATCATCATTTTGTGGATATTAATTGTTAAAGAGGGCTATAGTATGTACCAGTTGCCAAACTTAATATTTGTAAGCTCATTTTAGATACAAAACAGGCTTATTCAAATTGGTGCAAGCAGTGTAGGGACACTACACACAACAGAAACTCCTGGCATAGGTTCCATGACCTTTCATAACCATCACTAGTAAGCAAAGGTGGTTGGGGAGGGTACATTGGAAAGTGTTGATTTTTCCAGTGTGCTCTAAGCAGTGAATATGCAGCAGAGCAATCCAATAACTGTTAATATCTTGCATGCAGCAGTCTAAAATTTATAGGAAAAACCCCAAGATTCCTGTTTGTAGAAAAAACAGATGTGGTTGTGCTGAGTAGATTTTCAGATTCTGGTGCCAGGCAATTCTTTGCCTTGATATTCAGTGCATCCTAGATAGTAATTTGTAGAGTGACTCTTGGCTATGATTACATGAAATGTTTTGGTGTTTTCTTACCATAATTCTAGCTAGCAAGAATGATCTTAGAGATGGTGGAGAAAGAGACAAGGATAACAGTGAAACAAAAATACAGGAAAAGGCCTGTATGCAGGAGACACAATCTGAACTGATATCCCTCATCACTTGCGTGGTGGAAAATGCTTCTGTGCTACATAGCGCTTACTTTAGAAAGCAGATGGTGGAGCAACACTTGGTTTTGTAGTTAGATCTGTTAACGTAAACAGACTAACTCAAAGTTAAGTTTCTACCCTGCCAATAATATAACCCTATATCTCTGAACAGCTTGACTATTCGTGGCCTAAAGTCTTAACTTAATCAAAGTTATCACATAAAAAGTGTTCTAAAATCCAGCTTGATTTTGCTATGAAAATTATAGAATCACTAGCTTGGAATAATTATATTCAAATATTTACTTGAAAAGGGAGAAGTGGAGGCATGGTTTATGTTGCAGTAAATTTTTCATATGGATAGGTGGTAGATCTTTGCCCTCTGCTTTTTATCATAGAGATAAGAACCTAAAGCAATGCTTTTTTTGTGCCTACAGTTAAATGAAAACACAAGTAGACAAAACAATGGCCAGCCAAAAAGTATTTTCAGATTATTTAATTAATTAAACCACATTTTTTAATGATTCTTGTAAGTATGGGCAATAGTGCAGTCAAATACCACCTACGTCTTTGTGCTGAAAGATTAACTAAAATTAAAATACAGTTGGCAATATAACTGTAGATTTCAGTTTGCATTTATTTCAAAACCTAAAAGGAACCTGAGAAGTATAATAGGAAATCTAAAAATTATATCTAGAGGATATTTTTTTTGCCTTGTTTGAGAAACTACAGGAACAGTGTTGGTGTTAGAAATCTGTAAAGAAATAAGAAAAGGGGAAATTTCAAAGACCCTAGGAAACTTTTCCCTTAGGACTTTTTAAACATGTTTTCGTAGCGCTATGGCATCTTTTATGCAAGCAATGGAGAGTAGAAGGGAGAGAGGGGCATTCTGTACTCTAGAAATACATTGTCAACATTTCTATTTGAGAATTCAATTTTTGCATATGAAACTTTTCATTTTATTGTATGTAAGTTTCATAGAGGTTTATTGTGATTGCTATAGAAGACTGAAGGGATTTTAAATATTTCTGATGCCTAAGCTCTTCCATTGTATTGCATTCTTTGTACAATTTTAGAAAAACAATGTGATCTCTTCTTTAAATATATACTAAAACTATTATTCTGACATTTTTATAAATATACAAATTATGTCTGTATTCAGCTTAAATTGGAGGATATAAGGTTTTGCCTTCTTGCCATTGAGAAGTACGTTTAAAAATAAATCTCAGTATTGCTTGGCATGATACAGTCCAACAAGTACTGATCTAACATTATGAGTAGTAAACATGACATACACATATCTGACTTCCTTTCAGAACCTTAAGACACAGCTAACAGTAAGAGTTTTCTTCTGATGGAAATAGTAAGTAATATTCTAAAATATGTGGAAAATAGGAGGAATGTTTGCATATATGTGTCTATCTTGTGTTTTTTCACCTTCTGGAGATGTCTAAGACCACTTGTTTTATAACTGATCTCTTTATAATTGGGCACTTCTCCGTCAGGAAAGGCCTACTGGAACAGTATTGCTTTCAATAAACAGTGAAGAGTGGTATTGAAAAATAACGTGATGTACTTCCTTGCCTAGTGGCTGTTAATGTTACTGCCTGAATATTATGCTGATCCATTTAACTCATAGTTTGGTGGAAAAGTTCATTGCTTTCTGAAGAGTTTGTAAGTTAATTGTGTAACTAATGTCTTTGAAAATTATACAAATCTTAATAACATTTGCCCATAGTAGACCTTCTCCTTCATTCAAAATTATATGCAATAGTTATTCCGTAGGGTCAGTTGTAAGTTCTACTCCTATCATGCGTTTGAACAGTTAGTTCATGACTATAATTTTTGGATCTGGATATTTTTGTTCTGCAAGTAAATGTTTGAATTAAATTTTGGGTTTTGTGTGTAACAGTTCAGAGCATAACACCAGAACCTAAAGGCTGGTAGGTTAAAAGAATAATGTTATACTCTAGAAATATATAAGTGGTCTGTACTTCTGGACATGTTCCTTTCCAGAAAAATAGCTATATTACTGGAAAACTTTTCTACTTTTCCGCTCCTGCTTCAGAGAAATAAGCATAGAACTGGTTAAGGCAATAAGCCTGATACTTAGAACATTGAAATCTTAGTTGTCTCAGGTAAAAATCACTTTTAGGAAGATTTTCTTAACTCTGTAATGGATTTGTCTGTCAGTGGGTTAATCATAGAAGCAGTAAGGATTTGAAGAATATTAGAAGAAGAGGTAAAAATATGTTTACTAAAGTAAACCTAATATCACAGAAATAGTAGATGGCTCAGGATAACAGAGTCCGAAGTGGTTAAACAAAACTTTGTATAAAGGTAAAAAGAAAGCCAGTGTAATTTCCTTTTAATGTGATCCGTCCAGGATCATCTCCCACGCAGATGTGCATAATTTTACAGTTTTTACAGCCATTCCAAACAAACAGTCTTCAGTACACAAAGTGATTTTCATGAAAAAAATGAAAACTTGGTGAATCTGTTTAATATCTACCAAAGTTTGGGATTCTGGGCATGCTCCTTGACAGACAGTTTTATAGTGACACTGGTCTCAAACCTAGTTGGTGGACTAAACACTGTGGTCCAGAACAATTACATCCTGCTCAGTGTTTTAATATGAGGATGAATTTGTGAAATGGACAAGGCAGAGCAAAGGTTACAGAATGGTAACAGTCCTTTCTTTATTACTTCAGACTTCTGACTTGTCCTGGCCATCCAGTCATGCTGCTATGACTACAAAAGGAACGTAAAAATGAAGTGTTTTGGCATCTTTGTGATCAGTGCAGAGAAGTATCAATTTGTGATATTTTGCTTTTTCTCAGTGTCTTTTATCGGCTCTAGATTTTTAATCACCAGACATCAGTGTGATGCATATTAAAGCCAACGCACTGGTATTTTTTCTGATGTCTTCCGTTATTTAAAAACAGGGAAAGTCTATTATTGGGACAGTCTTAAATATTTTCAACAGATAACAGAGAGCATGATTTCAAAATCTGGTGGTTTTACTTACATAACCACTTTGAAAACTGGGTTTCTAGTGTCCAATATATGCAACTGGAGTATTGCATATATTATTGTAGTGGTCAGTGTTTTGAAGTTGTCAAATGGCATGTATAACTGGCTTTCATTCTCTTCTCCTTGAGTTAGTTGCTTCTACTGAAAGGGCTGGACTGGCACATGCTGGAGGGATCATTTTACTTGGGTTGCTGGTTTCTTAATTCACAGGGGACTCGTAAAACTTCACACCTCAAACTGAATTTATTTATTTAACCTATAGTCTCTCTTTCTTTGTCTTCCACATCCACAAACTCAGGATCAGATACATGCATTCAGTCCTGTGTCTCATGTTCTTAATATTGTGGAATAAAATGTCAAGTAAATAGCCATCACTTCATCAGTAACAATTTGAAAGATTATGAAATGGAAATCAGACTTCCATCTCTGACATTGTACAGACATATGGAAAGGGAATTTCATCTGATGATACACATGCCATCCTGGTCCGCAGTTATCTCATGACTTAATCAAGTCTTTTCTTGGAAGAGAAATGTACAAGGAAAGTTGGTATTTGCACTTTAGCAGAAGTAATTTTTTTCTCTAATGTGTCCATAATAAGCCACATTCCCATTTAGACATGAGAGAGTTTTATGCGGTGAATCCAGCATCTTATAGATCAGACATTAAACTGAAAGTCCAACCACCTTTATCCAGGTTTACTTCCAGTATCAGTAATTACCATCTGCCATCTTACTTCTTTGGTTTCAGCTGACAGCATTAGTCTCTTCTGTTCAGAACAACTGGATAGTCTTGGGCAC